GTGCAAGAGGCAGCTGGTCGATGTTTCTCTCTCATCGATGTTTCTAACTCTCTATTCCTCTCTCTTCCTCTCTGTAAAAAAAAAAAAAAAATCAATAAAATATATTAAAAAAAGAGAGATTAACCAAAACACTTGTATGCATGCATATAGGCATAATCAATGAACACAGACACTAAGGGAGTGAGAGCATGTGCTCAGGGTGAGGGTGGCCGGGGAGAGGTCAATGCGGGAAAAAGGAGACATATGTAATACTATATGTAACACTTTAGCAATAAAGAATTTTTTTAAAAGTTGAAGATTGGGTACATGAGGCTCTATTTTGTGTCTTAAAAAATATATGTTTTTCCTGATTTCAGAGAGAGGAAGGGAGAGGTAGAGAGAAACACCAATAACAAGAGAATCATTGATCGGCTGCCTCCTGCACACCCCACATTGGGGATTGAGCCCGCAATCTGGGCATGTGTCCTGACCAGGAATTGAACAGTGAGCTCCTGGTCCATGGGTGAATACTCAACCACTGAGTCTCACCAGCCAGGCTATTTCGTGTCTTTAACAAATTTTTAATGTAGTGTACTAGGCACTGTGCATATATTCATCTGCCCAAAGTCACTAATCATCCGAAAGATGCAAATCAAAACGACAATGAGGTACCATCTCACCTGTCAGAACGTCTATCATTAACAAATCAACAAATGACAAGAGTTGGAGAGAATGGGGAGAAAAAGGAACCCTTATGCACTGCTGGTGGGAATGCAGACTGGTGCAATCTGTGGAAAACAGTATGGAGTTTCCTCAAAAAATTCAATATGGAAATCCCATTTGAACCAATAATCTCACTTCTAGGAATATATCCCAAGAAATCAGAAACACCGATCAGAAAGGATATATGCACCCCTATGTTCATAGCAGCAAAATTTACAATAGCTAAGATTTGGAAACAGCCTAAGTGCCCATCAGCAGATGAGTGGATTAAAACACAGCGGTACATCTACATAATGGAATACTATGCTTCTGTAAAAAAGAAAGAACTCTTTCCATTTGCACTAGCATGGATGGACATGGTGAGCATTATGTTAAGCAAAATAAGCCAGTTGGAGAAAGATAAACATCACATGATCTCATTCATTTGTGGAATATAATGAACAACATAAACTGATGAACAAAAATACATCCAGAGACAGAGAAGCATTGAACAGACCGTCAAATTTCAGAGGGGAGGGCAAAAGGGGGGAGGGGTAAGAGATCAACCAAAGGACTTGTATGTATGCATATAACCATAACCAATGGTCACAGACACTAGGTGAGTGCAGGCATGTGTTGGGGTTTAGGGGTGCCTGGGGAGAGGTCAATGGGGAAAAAAGAATACATATGTAATACTTTAAACAATAAAGATTTTTAAAAAGAAAAAAGCACATAATCTAAGCTTCCAAGAAAACTTTAAAAAAATCAATCTTTTTTTTTTTTTAATAATTTGATAGAAGGTGGAGGAAACAGCTAAGGATGTATTACTAACAATAAAAAATTGATATATAGATAACTGAAAATTCATTACATACAAAGTATATTTCACAATTAGAGAATTACTTCATTATAATAATTCACTACCAGAAAAAAAATAGGACTAACTTTTTTTTTTATTTGCCATTATCACCATTTAAAAATTTTTAAAATTGATTTCAAAGAGGAAGAGAGAGGGAGAGAGACATAGAAACATAAATGATTAAAGTAATTGAAGAAAGCAGGGAGTGAGGGGATAAGAGATCAACCAAAGGACTTGTATGCATGCAAGTATGTATGAACAAAACCAATGGACCCAGATAATAGTGGGGTGAGAGCTTGTGCTTGGGGAAGGGGGTGGTGGGAGAGAGGTTAATGGGGAAAAAGGAGACTCATGTAATATTTTTAAACAATAATTTTTAAAAAATACAGGTAGATTATAAAAATATAAATACAGAAAAGTAGAAAGAATGGAAAAAGCATTAGTATTCACCCACCCTTATTGAATTGTCATTCATTTCTTTCAAGGCTTTTCCTGACTGCAATTTTGACATGGTTTTGATCACTTTGTAGTCTACTTATTTCATTCGCTATTTTAGCATACCACTTCATGTTACTGAAACATTAATAAATATAATTTTTAACAATTAAAACATAAAGTAATTGATTGGCTGCCTCCTACACACTCCCTACTGGGTTTGAGCCTGCAACCTGGGCATGTGCCCTTGGATTGGAATTGAACCTGGGACTCTTTAGTCTGCAGGCTGACACTCTATTCACTAAGCCAAACCAGCTAGGGCCTAACTCTTAAGTATTCAATATTTTTGAGCCCTTGTTATATGTAAGAACCTGTTTTTCTTCTCAGAAGGGAAGGAAAGATTTTTTTAAAAAAATCAAATAAGCCATAGTTATCACTCTCAAAGACCTTACAATCCAGACATCATAGCAAATATGATGTAAGAGACAAGAAAATGAGTGTGAGATGGAGGCAAAGTGTGGTAGGTATAAAAAACAAAGATTAAGTATATGGGTTGTATGGGGTGGGAGGTGGGAGACAGATAAGAAAAGCATAAGGTGGAATTTGAGTTAAACCTCGTAGGACAGCATAAGCAATACGAGTGCTTGAAATATTTTAGGAAAGGTTGCTAGTCCTGTTTGGCATGCCAGGCATCTGTGGAAGGATAGAAGACTCTGAGGCCAGGAGGGTGAAGATGATGGAAAGCCTTGAATTCCCTTCTCAAAAAGTTTAAACTTTTTGAGTAGAAAAATTATCTACTTTGGTATCTATAGAAAAGCAGATTATACGTAAAAGCACCGTCTATCTAACTTTGGAATAGTCATAATCAAGTATTCATCATCCCCGAGCCTGGTTCAGTTTCTATCCAGTGATGAGTTTAAAGAAAGAGTGGTCAATGGACTGCTTACTGGCTAGAAACTCAGGCTGGCTTGTACTAATATTCCAAGGTTGATATTTCAAGAAAGTCCCTAATGAAAGTCAATAATGCCACTAGGTGAACCCTCTCACAAAAAGTCAGGAAGTTTTTCTCGATAAAACTGACACAAAAGGGTGAAAAAGGTAAAGGGGAATAAGAGGCACACACTTAGTTATAAAATAAATAAGCTACCAGGGTGTAGTGTACAGCACAGGAAATGCAGTCAATAATATTACAATAACTTTTCACGGTGACAGATAGTTACTAGACTTATTGTGGTGATCACATTGTAAGGTATATACTAGTAAATGTCAAATCACTATGTTATGCACTTAAACTATACCATGATATTGTATGTCAACCATCCTTACTAATAAAGGCCTAAATAGTCATCATGGTGTGATGCCCTCACACTATCACAAGATGGCTGCATGCACAGTGGGCATGCGCAGGTGGGTGGGGCTGGGCTTGATGCTGCGTGCGCTACACGGAGCCTGTCTGGGAGTCCAGCCTACTCCTGGCTCCACCGCAGCAAGGCATGTCTGGGAGTCCCACCTCCTCCCAGTTCCACGTGTGGAGCCAAGATGAGGCAGGTCCCCAGGCTCTGGGTGGCAAGGCCTGCCTGACGGGGGTCGCGCCTCCCAGCTCTGGCCTACCTCTTTAGGGCAATCCATTGAGGAGCCCTGGATGGGTGGGCAGAGCCTACCTCTTTGGGCCAATCGATCTTGGGGCTCCTGCACTGTGACAGAGTACAGGCCAGGCTGGGGAAACCACCCCCTACCCCCCCAACCCCCAGGCGAGTGCACAAATTTTGTGCACCAAGCCTCTACTACTTTAATAAAAAAAAATTTAAGCATACAAGGGATATATTTGCTATATAATTTGTTGTTATATGGAGTAGTGTTATTAAAACTATAATAGTTCTTTCAAGCTTCTGCTTAATACAGTATCTGGCAAATAGTATGTACTCAATAAGTGCTAACTATCACTACCACTACCACCATTATCACCACAATCATCAAACACTTATAGAATTGAATGTTTAATGATCTACAAACAACACCTTGGATTATATGTGATACTTATAAAACTATGGCTATCTATTCCCTATCACCCAGCATTCTTCATTCTTTTTCCCATCTGATATTTTATTCTAATTAGTCTTTAATAAACTTAATTTTAGAGTAGTTTTAGATTCACTACAAAATTGAGTGGAAGGAACAGAGATTTCCCTTATACTCACATAAGCATAGACTCCCCTACTATAAAAAACCAAACAATTGTGGTAAATTGTTATCCTATCTAATAAAGAGGGAATATGTAAATTGATCATCACACCATTACAAATATGGCGGTGCCATAACCACAAGATGGTGGCATCCAGTCCCCTTAGCCCTGCTGGAGTCCCCCAGTCCTTTCAACCCCACCGGGAGTGTGTGGTAGGCACACAGTGCAGCCAGGCCCACCCCCAATCCCCCAGCTACCCAGGGCAGGCCTGAGGCACAGGCAAGCCTTGTATGGCAGCTGCCTAGCCACCCAGGATAGCCCAAGGCTCAGGTAACCAGGGCCATCCGAGGCTTGCACTGTCAGTAGTGGCAGCAGCAGAGGTGTGATGGGGCATCGCCTTCCCCTGATCACTGGGTCGCCTCCTGCCCCAGAGGGTTCCCGAATTGTGATAAAGGGCAGTCCGGGCTGAGGGACCCCCCTCCAGTGCATGAATTTTCATGCACCAGGCCTCTACTAATAGATAAACCTACATTAATACATCATTATCACCCAAAATACATAGTTTACATTAGGGTTAACTCTTGTTGTACACTCTATGGATTTGGACAAACTCAAGATAACATGTATCCATCACAGTATTGTATTGTGTAGTTTCACTGCCTTAAAAATCCACTGTGCTCCACCTTGTCACCCCAATCTTTTATTTTGCAATAAAAATCTATTCACTTTTTTCTCATTATAAAGCAATACATGCTCAGTATAAAACATAATTCATGGGGAAAAAAACAGCATCACCCACCATCCAGGGATGACCATAGTAAGTATCTCAGTGTTTATTTTTCCAGACCTGGGTCCTACTGCACATACTATTTTCCAGGCTTTTAAAATAATAATAATACATTCTGGCTCTGCATCTGGGGATGTTTGCAGTTCTCAGCTCCTAGGCCAGCTTCTATAAAAATGTCCACTGTTCATGAAATTCTGAGCAAGCTCAGCTTGGAGAATGACCACTCTACATCCCTAAGTGCATACAAGTCAGTCAAAGCATACATCAACATTTATACTGAGCAGGATACTTTGAACAATGAAGCAGCCATCAAGACTAAAGGTGAACGAGGTCACCATTGTCAACATATTTCCAGCTGTAGCAATGAAAGGAAACAGCATATTGCTTTTGTCTGCCACAGGACCAAAATGTAACTTGCATCAGTAGTCAGCCTTGTCTGGCCAACTGGGATTCAGAAACAGATGATGATTTGGGGCCTACTAAAAATATCTGCTCAGTATGAAGCTTCCGAGCTGAAAGCTGTCTTCCTCCATGAAGGGTCTGGGGACTGATGAGGACTCTCCATTGAGATAATCTGCTCAAGGACCAACCAGGAGCTGTGGGAAATTAAGTTTACAAGGAATAGATCTGAAGAATTATCTGAAGAAGGATATTGTTTTTGACTTCTGCAAGCTGATGGTTGTCCTTGCAAATGGTAAAGAGCAGAGAGGGTGGCTCTGTCATTGATTATGAACTGATTGACCCAAGATGCCTGGGATCTCTATGATGCTGAAGCAGAGGAAAGGAGCTGATGCTCCAAGTGGATCAGCATCATGACCGAACAGAGGGAATATTACCTCCAAATATTATTTGAAAAGTGCAAGAGCTACAGCCATTAGGTCAAGAGAGACCTGGCCCAGTGTATTCAGAACAAGTGGCTGTGTTTTTTCTGACTCCATCCAGGAAGACAGTAAAGGCAATTATCAGAGAGCTCTGCTGTACCTGTGTGGTGGGGCTGACTGAACCCTGAGAGCATGGGCATCCAGAAGTAGTGTTCCTATGCTCTCAGCTAAAAGTTATAAAAAATCAGCTTGCAATTAATGGCCCCCATGTGCCCATTCCTGTGAGGATGATATTAGCATCACTCCCCCAAACTTATTTTAGTTAAGTAGGCATTGCCTGGCCTTCTCAGCTACTCTCTCTTTTTATTTATTTATTTATATATTTTTAAAAAATAGATTTTATTGATTTTTCGCAGAGAGGAAGAGAGAGGGATAGAGAGTTAGAAACATCGATGAGAGAGTCATCGATCAGCTGCCTCTTGCACACCCCCTACCGGAGATGTGCCCGCAACCAAGGTACATGCCCTTGACCGGAATCGAACCCGGGACCTTTCAGTCTGCAAGCCGACGCTCTATCCTCTGAGCCAAACCGGTGCCGGCTACTCTCGCTTTTTAGAAAAAAAAAAAAAAAGCACAAAGGAGCTGGAAGTGAAATCTATTATGTGAAACACATTGTCTATTGTGTTTTTTAGAAACAAAACAGAAAAACTTAATACATTACAAATATCTTTCCAGATTTAATTCAACCACACCAGCGTTTTTAAAGGCTAAATGTTATACTTTATGGATGTCCTGTAATAATAAAAAGCACTCATTATGTACCAGCCATATCTTATCTCATTCAGTTCTCAGAACAACCTTACAACATAGGCATTGTTTCTATTTTAAAGATTAGAAAATTGAGGGCCAAAGAAAATAAGCAACTTGTCCAAGGTTGTATAGCTAGTAACTGCTAGAACTGGGATTCACATACAGATAATGAAGGGTAGTCATTTAACATATTCCCTGCTGTTGGACATTAATACTGTTGCTACATTTTTGCTTGCTCTTATAACTAGAGGGGGGTTCCCTCAGCCCGGCCTTCCCTCTATCAGTCTGGGAGCCCTCAGGGAGCTGGAGGCAACCCATTGATCAGGGGAAGGTGACACCCTCATCACACTCTTCTGCTGCCACTGCCAGCAGCACAAGCCTCAACTGGCCTTTGTTACCTGAGCCTTGGGTGGCCCAGGGTGGCTGGGCAGCTGCCATCTGAGGCTTGCCTATGCCTCAGGTTGACCCTGGGTGGCTGGGGGGCTAAAGGGACTGGGGAACTCCGGCAACAGGTGCACGGAGTGGCTGGGCCTTGCAGTGTGCCTGACGCCCTGGCTGGTCTAAGGGTACTGAGCGTTGCCATCTCGTGGCTGTGGGTGCTGCCATCTTTGAGGGTATAGCAGTCAATTAACATATCCCCTCCTTATTGGCTGTGGATTCTGCCACCTTTGCAATGGTGTGAGGGTCAATTAGCATATCCCATCTTTATTAGATAGGATGCTATAATAACCTTAAAGCTGAATCTTTGCATGAACCCTTAATGAGTTCTTCAGGTTCAATTTATAGAGCTGAAGTTTCTGGCTCACAAGGCTGTTGATATACATTGCCAAACTATCCTCCAGAAAGCTTATTCAAATTTACTTTCCAGCAGTGTGTGAGAATATGGATTTCCTTGTACCTCTCCAATATTAGATGTTATTGCTAGTTTAAAAATATTTGTATTCCCATTCTTAAGGCATACTGTAAAGATAATCTACTTTCCAAAGCAAGTAGAAACTATTTTGATTTATCTAGTTTGGTATATTCTCCCCCAATGCTCTCTTTTATTAGCATGGATCACTGAGAAGTTGTACATGCACCAAATCTAAAAAAACAGTTTTCCTTAAAAAAAAAAAATAACCCTTCAAATGCGCCCTATCTGGTTTGGCTCAGTGGATAGAGCATTGGCCTACGAACCAAAGGGTCCCGGATTAGATTCCAGTCAAAGGCACATATCTTGGTTGCATGCTTTTCCCTGGCCGGGGCACTCATCAGAGCTCCTGAAGGAGGCAACCAATCAATGTGTTTCTCTCACATTGATGTTTCTGTCTTTCCCTCTCTCTTCCACTCTCCCTAAAAACCAGTGGGAAATATCCTTGGGTGAGGGTTAACAACAACAAATAAATAAAATAAAAATAAAAACCTTGAATGCACACATACCTTTGAGTTTTAATACATTTAACTCATGCTACTGATGTTCATATCATCATCATTCAAATGCCCAGAAAATTCACAATATAGAATGTGAAACACTAAGGTTTATAATTTAATTGAAAAGCCATACTAACCTGATCTTAAATATATACATATACTCTATATACAGACATTATGGTCCTTTAGCTATATTATAGTAACATGAGTGAATAGAAGGAGAGTTGCTTAATGAACAACTCTATTCCCCCTACCACCACCACCCAATATAACATTAGTACATTTGCAGTTTGAACAAAAAAAAGGGACTCTAATAAATCTGACAAATTCAGTAATTGAAGGTAATATCATAACTTAATGTATGTAATCATAAATTCCTAGCTGGGAAGGACAGGGGGGATAATCATACTGCAGGCCTATAAAAGGTTTATCTTTGCCTTAAGCAAGCCCTCTCCATTGTTCTTGTGCATCTAGGTTAAAATTACTATGAAGTGCCAGAAGTACACATAATCCTCTTTTCCAGACCCCTCAGGGGTATAACCATTCTCGAAAGAGCACATAATCTTGTTTAATCTTCCTTCTTTCCCTCCTTATTCTAAATGTATAAAAAGAACCAGAAAACTGTCATTTGTCAGAGCTCTAAGATCTTGCTTCCCAGGATGTCATCAGTTTGGCTCAAATCAACTCATAAAATTCTCTACAGATTTGCCTGTTTCTGATGTTGACAGTGGAGTAATATTGGATATCATTCTAGAAAGAGGAAAATGTCCAGTTCTAAGATTAGGAAGCAATATTTAAAAATGAGTTCCAAGCTACAACATTTCACTGAAATATGCTCTATAGATTCCATCATGTTAAAAATCATATGAGAAGTCTATGAACAATTAATTTTTGCCTTAGACAGTTTGGTTTAGTGGATAGGGCGTTGGCCTGCGGTTCAGAGGGTCCCAGGTTTGATTCTGGTCAAGGACACAAGCCAGGGTTGTGGGATCAATCCCCAGTAGGGGGCATGCAGGACACAGCCAATGATTCTCTCTCATCATTGATGTTTCTCTCACTCTCCCTTCCTCTCTGAAATCAATAAAAACATATTAAAAGAAGAACAACAACAACCCCTCCTTTACAATTAATTGTCAACAAATTAGATAATCTAGAGCAGCAATTTAAAAAAATATATATTTTATTGATTTTCCACAGAGAGGAAGGGAGAGGGATAGAGAGCTAGAAACGCCGATGAGAGAGGAACATCGACCAGCTGCCTCCTGGGGATGTGCCCTCAACCAATGTACATGCCCATGACTGGATTCGAACCTGGGACCTTTCAGTCCGCAGACCGACGTAGAGCAGCAATTTTCACTGTTGACTGTTTTGTGTGTGTGTGTGTGTGTGTGTGTGTGTGTGTGTGTGTGTTTTACCTTAGATTGTCAAAGAAATAAATGACAACAGCCACCCTGGCCAGTAGAACTCAGTTGGTTGGGTGTCATCCCATTCATCATAAGGTTGTAAGTTCAAATCTGTCAAGGCACATGCCTAGGGTTGTGGGCTTGATCTCCCATAGGGAGTGTGCAGGAGGCAACCAATCAATGTTTCACTCTCACATTGATGTCTGTCTGTCTGTCTGTCTGTCTCTCTCTCCCTTTTTCTTTCTGTAAAAAAAAAAAGAAAAAAAAAGAAAAAGAAAATCATAAACTATTTTTAAAAAAGAGACAAGCGCGGCCAGTGTGGCTCAATGGTTGACCTGTGAACCAGGAGGTCGTGATTCCTGGACAGGGCGCATGCCTATGTTGTGGGGTCAATCTCCTTGTGGTGCATGCAGGAGGCAGCCTATTAATGATTCTCTCTTATCATTGATGTTTCTATTTCTCTCCATCTACTTTCTTCTTTGAAGTCAATAGAAATATATTTCTAAAAAGATTTAAAAAAGACAACAGCCAACACAATAGCCATCCAGTGTGAATTAATGAATGAATAAAAATTATACATAACTTTTTCTCAAATAGGCAAAAACTATGTTTTTTAGTGTGCTGAGGAATTTCAGTAGTTTATGTGTGTCATGAGATGAAAAAGGTTGAAAATCGCTGACCTAGATGAAAGGGGACAAATTCATAAAAACACACAAATTACCAAACTAATACAAGATAAAATAGAAAATCTAAACAGATCTGTAACAAGTACTGTAAAAAAAAACTAGAATTTATTTCAAAAACCTCTCAATAAAGGAAAATCTAGGATCAGATGACATCACTGGTGAATTCTAGCAAACATTTAAAGAAGAATAAACATTAATCTTCCTCAAACTCATCCAAACAAAGAAGAGGAGGTAAATTTCCTAATCCATACTAGGAGATTAGCATTACCCAAATACCAAAGCCAGCAAAGATACCACAAGAAAAAAACAAAACTATATACCAATATTCCTTATAAATATAGATGGAAAAATCCTCAAAAACAGAATCCAATAGTACATTAAAAGATGATACACTAGGACCAAGAGGGATTTATCCCAGGAATGCAAAGGTGGATCAACATAAGAAAATCAATACAATACATCATATTAACAGGATGGGGAGGGGGGTGAAACCACATGATAATCTCAATAGATGAAGAAAAGGCATTTGACACAATTTGACAGCTTTTTCTGATAAAAATATGCAACCAATATCAAATGGCAAGATTTCACTCTTTTTATTGCTGAAAGGAAACTTCACCAACATGATAAAGGACATTTACCAAAACATATATCTAATATCATACTCTGTGATGAAAGACTGAAAGCTTTTCATGGTCAGGAACATGTGTGCTTTTTGAAACAAGAGAGAGATAGTGGTCGAACAACATTGTGCATGCACTAAATGTCCCTTAGTTGTATATTGTACTTTAAAGTAGTCCACTGTATGTTATATGAATTTCACTTCAATAAATAGATTCATATAGTGAATCATTTACTCACTTTGTTTTACTAATCTACTAGCATTTTTCCTATGTCTACAGGATAATTAATAGATAAGAGTTATAATTTAGAGATTGCATTATAACATCATGGAAAGACAAACTTTATTTTCAATTCAAGATAAATTCAACTTAAAAGTCAAACCAAAAGCTTGAAAACTACTCTTAGGAGTCAAAATTAGAATATTCTTTTAAAAATTGGAAGCCAGATGTTTTTATACATGAAGACAAATCTCAATTTTAAATCCATATGACATTTAAATGTAAAAACAAACAACCACCTTGCCCAATCAGTGTGGCTCCGTGGTTGAGCATTTACCCAGGAAACAAGAGGGCACTGGTTTGATTCCAGGCCAGGGCACATGCTTGGATTTCTGGCTCGATCCTCGGTGGGGGGCATGCAGGAAGCAGCTAATCAATGATTCTCTCTCATCAATGATGTTTCTATTTCTCCCTTCCTCTCTCTCTAAAAAATAATCAATGAAAACTAAAACAAAAAACAAAAAACAAAAAAACAACCCCTTAATTCTGCTGCAGTTTCAGCAAAACAATTGTGACTGTAGTCAACATGTATTTATTTGCCTTCTATAATGTTTCCGGTTTGTGGGAACTTGTCAGAAATGCAAATTCTCAGACCTCACTCAGAATCTCTGGGTTTGAGGGCCAGGAGACTGTATTTTTGTTTGTTTGTTTGTTTGTTTGTTTGTTTTACATTTCTATTGGATTGAGAAATTCTTTTAGAGTAATAGACTCTGAATACCAGTTAAATTTATATTCAGTAGTCTGTTTTAATAAACTTTCCAGGCGTACACTTAAGTTTGAGAACCACTAGTTAAGGCCAAGAGCACAATCTTGTCCAGTGAGGATGTTATAAGCATTTTCTTATGAGACAGTGTTTGTCATAAATGTTGTACTGTTTCTTCTAGATCTTAATCTGTCAGCTTGGAACACCAGTGAGTTATCACTAAGAAGAAAAAGAGATCATTTGTCATTTAAAATCCATTATAATTTTTTTTTAAGAAATAAGATTTCAAAAGATTTCAATATTCAAACAGAAATGCCATTCATCTTAAATGGCTTCTTTTTGGAGATGTTGTGCAGATGTAGAAATTAAAACATGCACACACACATACACAAAGCCTTAGTTGGCTGAGCCTAAACAAATGTCCATGTAAGGTAAGGAATTCTCAAGCACACCACTTTACCTCTAGTCATGCTACCAAGAATAAATATAATTTATTCTGGCCTTGGAAATAGATCATTTTCTGTTTCAATTTGATCTAAATTTATGATTGGAGCTACAATGTGCTAGATTCAAATCCCTCTCAATTCTCAAACTGTCACAGGAATAGGAGGTATAACCAATAGGGGTCCATAGAACCCTTCCTCCTTTTAGGTTTCATGTCTATGACCTCACTTATATATATCTTACTCTTTTCAGTATCCAGCCTCAACCCAATTCAAAGCCATTTTACTTTTCTACAGGTTCTGCAATGGTCTAATTGGTCACCTCACCTCTGCTCTTTCCCCACTGCCATATCTGTAACAGACTACCAGATTACCTTCTTAAAGAACAACTTGCTCTCCTGCTCACAACTTTCAGTGATTCTCTGCATCACCTGCCAAATTCAGTTACCTTTTCACTATAACATTCAAAGCCTTCCATAATTTAGCTTGAGACTTTGGGATTTCATGGACTAGTAAAATGTCATAACAAAACCACACAGTAGCTATCATTTTCTTCTGTCAAGTAAGATTATTAAAAAACAAACAAAAAAACAACAAAACAACCTCACCAACTACCAACACCATTGTTTCATTTATAAAAGGACATCTTGGTAGTTTAAAATAAAAGCTAGCACTAACAATCTCTGAGTAAAATATAACCCTTCCCAGGAAAGGACAATTGGAAACTACATAAAAACATTTAATTATGCTGTACTTATTAAAAAAAAAAAAACAACACCACATGAATTGGTAAAAAACTCACTAGGATCAGCAATAATCAACAGATGAACATTTGGGAGACAGTGATGCAGGCAGAGTTGGCCAGCTATCTGGAATACACCTATGCTTTTATGCCTCCAAGCCTGTTCCATATAGGAATGTTGACATAGTTGTCCAACCCCCTCTCTTCCAGTATGCATTTTATCAATCCATTAGGATTCATCTAAAATGCTACTTCTCCAAGATCCTTTTCTTTTCCCTCACCAGTTTCACCAATTTCTCATTCCTTTCTTTGAATTTCTCTGGCACTTTCTTTCCCTCCCTAAGCACAGGTCTAACTCTAATATAATAGTCATTTGTGTATATTTTTCTTTTTAAAAAAAATGTATTTTATTGATTTTTTACAGAGAGGAAGAGAGAGGGATAGAGAGTTAGAAACATTGATGAGAGAGAATCATGAATCAGCTGCCTCTTGCACACCCCCTACTGGGGATGTGCCCGCAACCAAGGTATATGCCCTTGACTGAAATCGAACCCGGGACCTATCAGTCCACAGGCTGATGCTCTATCCACTGAGCCAAACCGGTTTTGGCTGTATTTTTTTTCCTATTAAATTAAAAGCCTATTGAGTCTTGAGATATAGTTTTTCAACATGGTAATTTGCATATACCAGGCAATAACTTAGTATTTTATGAGAGGATATACATACACACACACACACACACACACACACACACACACACATATGTGTGTGTATATATATATATATATATATATATATATATATATATGTCTAATTTTTGCTTCTTTTTCCAATTATGTTCCCTATAAAAACAGGAATATATTCCAGCAGTCACTTATGAGGATGCTAGGGGTCACTAATGGCACTAATGGGTTACATATTTCAACTATATTTTGTGTCAGTGTGGAGGTAATTCTTATGGCTGGTACTTATATTCTCCCCTAAATTTCTGACTGCTAATTTTATTTAATAAAAACTATAAATGAAATAAATCAAGGTAGCATATACTCAATTGGTACAAGTCACTCAACATGAATTTGTAGAATCCTAAGTGATATTTACAACTGAGTTCAGTGCTATACTACTTACAATTTGGAAAAAGTGAAGGTAATATAATTAGATAGATGTTTAATTCTCCAAATCAAACAATCAGTAAGCAGCTCTGTCTAAACTACAATATATTAATATGTCAGTTATAGTTCCAAATCATTCCTCATGACCACTATTCTTCTTCCAGATTTGTAAGATTTATTAAACCAGATGGTTGGCAAACTTTTCCTACAAAGAGCCAGATAGTAAAAACTTTGGGCTTTGTCAACTATGCAATCTCTGTTGCAACTATTCAACTCTGCTATTGCAGTGGGAAATTGGCCATGAACTAGTAAACATATGGACATGGATATGTTTCAATAAAACTTTATTTACAAAACCAAGGCTGGATTTGGCCCAAGGGCAATAGTTTGACTTTCAAACAGAATTGATGCAGTGAGAGTTTAAATACAGGGGTTGGGCCAAAGGTATTTAAAGTGGGAAGGCACTGGCAGAAATCCAAGAACTTAATTTCTAATTCCAATAAAAGCTAGAGAAGGAAAGAAAAAAAAACACTACTCCCTTTAAATATAGTTATTGACACCAGTAGTGAACTATGGGTAAGCCAACTAGAGGGCTAAAGATTATAAAGAACCAAGAGGTTCAAAATTGTAGACATTGGTATTTCTATTAATACAAGATGTTCTCAAAAATAGTAAAGGGACTTCTTAAACACAGTAACACATGTATTAAAGAACTGACCTTTAAGGAACAAATTCTGCAAATGCCGGTGCAAGAGAGACTGATTCTTTATGTACAGGAAGTATCAAGCAAAAGTGGAAAATTACTTGAAAGAAGTTCAATACTATTTAGCAGCCTATGAAAGCAGCAAGGCAACAAGTATTAGAGGCCCAACTAAGAGAAGGTGAGAAAAGTGAGCAGTGCACATGTGCAACTGAAAATAACTGAGGTAAAAATGAATTCAACTAAGGTTTAAAGTAATTCTACTCTAATTTCCCTTCCTTCAGTGTAACCTCTCTGACCACACCCTAAACTTGCCAAAACAGCACAAAACAAGCACATAGATCATTTGGACAAGTTTCCTGGCCTCAGGCATGTCATATTCCATTCCCATGTTATTTCTTTTTCATAAACAAGAGGCTTTAGGCTTGGTCCACTTTGAGGTTTCTTTATCTTTAACTCCTTCTCGATAAAGATTCAATTGCACCACAACCCTTCTATACAAATTTCTCTTCATGCATCAGGATCTTAAGCTATAGAATTTGACACTGTAACTATACTGTCATGATAAAATAAAAAATTCAAATCCTTTTCAGAACAAAGCAAAGTATGATCACTATTTGTTTCCAGAACTTTGGGGGTTTGGGAAGGTCCTGCCATTTCTGCCCTGCCCCAGCACTTAATATATTAAACAGGATCCACATGTTCCTTCAAGTATATATCCTCTATCATCAATATGCAACTTGTTTTTTCATTTCATAAGGCTTCCAGGAAAACCAGCATTCTCCCTAAGTGCTTTCTTCTATTAGCAGAGTGGGTCCATAACAATTTATCCACACAACAAGATTAGAGTAAAATTCTCAACACAACATGCAGAATTGTTCTGTTTAGTCTTAGTTTGCTTTTCATTTTAGAACACTATATTCTCCCTTACCTCAAATGACCAGAAAGCTACATTTGTTTAGAGTTAATCAGCTTAGATGTTGATTAGTAGTGGACAAAGCAGTAACTTAGGAGTCAGGAGACACAGGTTCCTAGTACTGGCTCCACTGCTTTGTCATTGTGAAGATTTATGGGCCTCAGTTTCTTTATAGGTTAAACAAGGAAGGAGGATCTGCTCTTTGAGTTCACTTCTAATAGTTGCTATTTACAACTCTAGATTAGTTTAATGCCAGCAAAAGGTGAGGAGCAAAATTAATAACATATGCAGCAAATACATTTTTTGACATTTTTACAATATTGAGAAAACTTTATGATATTGGGATGTGAAATGCACGATTTCACTTGAAAATTCTATTTTAAGAAAAAATAAGCATGATTCATGCCAGACCTTTGGATATGTGCAGAAAATACAGTTAACTATCAGTTAGAGCAGTGTTTTAAAATCATATTTGTTTCATTATCAGCCCTCTAAGGAGCCTTTATATAAAGGTCTCCTCCAATTGCACTCCCTTGAAAATCCCCATGAAATTTATATATATATTCTGCTTTACACATAAAAAGAGTTGTGTTTTTCCCACACACACCCAAGGACCAAGTTGGGGGCAGTATTAGCCACTGAGAATACAAAATGCAAACTTTAGATCAACTTTCTGTAGTACTTAACTTTTTGGTGCCAATAAAAACTATATATATATATATATATCAAGCTTATTTGTTTGCCAATTTATTTAAATTTGCTGGAGGTGAAGGTCAGAGGTGACAAAGCAGCTAAGAGAATGACAAAAATTATTAATCACAGAAAATATGGAGGGGAATATTCAGTTTCTTCAAAAGAATGGATAAGAAATGGGGTGACGTTAGAAAAAGTCAAGTTCCACATCAATTGGTTGCTGCCCTTGGGTGCTGGTGGACTTTCAGAAGAGGAGATTCAAGTTCAAATCAACCTCTGGGTGGGTGTGCACTTTCCCTCTAGCCATCCCCTCCACTCCCTTCTAGGCTGAGGGTGGGGTCTCTGGACTCCAAGACCAACAGAGATACCTGCAGAATCTTGATGAATAAAGAAAAGGATGGAGATATTTTTGGAAGTCACTTTCTCCAACTCTTGCCATGCCCCCCGCCTCTTGATTCCAGTATTTCAATCCTGCTCACCCAAGTTCGCTGATCAAAGGGGTGCTGTTGGATCTTCTCTGGATGTTGCGGGCTGTGATGGTTGAACTTGGCAGCAGCTCCACGCCTAGTTCCATTTTCTCCTGTACCATGTCCGTGTTGAGGCAGAAGCTACTGCTTAGTTCTATGATCTCAAGGTTTTCCGGCATAGGGACAGGTCAACTTGGTGAGGAAATGATGGAGGGAGAAAGAGGGGAGAAGAGAGGAGGAAGCTATTAGACCACAGAGGTGCTCACCTTTGCTGCCTTACCAGCCCTAACACTACCAGGCACAAAGTGGGGCAGTGCTGGAATTGATAATACCCCCCTCTCCCGCCTTCGAGCTCGGGGTCACAAACTCTGAGATCTTCCGCCTCCAAACATATAATGAAAATGAATTTGTCTTAGTTTATGTCCGTAAATCCTTCTCTTTTAATTTGCAGAGCCAAAGCAAAAACCAGATAAGCCTTTTGGGTTTAAAGTAAAGACTACAACCGATGATCTTGGTGTATAAATTGGGCGTCACCCTTCTGCGCTTGCGCCATGTGCCTGGCTGGTTAGAGTGTGCTTACTGCTCAAGCAATGAGCATTATTGCTGTCGCTTCTGTTAGTCTGGCCACAGACGCAGGCGAAGTCAGGGAGCTGCTGTGTTTTTGTTTGTTTGTTTGGCCCAAATTGGTCTTCCCTTCTCCTTCTAGTGCAGATTAACAGAAGTCATTCCTCTGCTTCTATGTTAACCCTGGAATGGTTTCCTTAACCACCATTTAATAATGGGTGGGGAGGAGTATGGTGTATGGGAGAGCCATCTTTTTCGCCCTATACCTAATACTCAATTTTCTCAGTTTTGGTTAAGCCATTAACCCTGTATGACTGAGGCCAACAAGCTTGTAACCTCCCATGACAAATTTTTCCATCTTGTCACACTATGTAATTTAAAAAAAGCTGAAGTCTGGGGTGGGGGTTGGGGAACCAAAACCACTCCTATGTGTTTAGAGGCCACATACTCTCAAAGGGTCCTGGTAAGACGCTAACCTGTATGAATCAACTGCCCAAACGAATCATTGTTTTCCATGCTGTTTCATTATTTTTTTTTTAACATAGTCATATAATGTATATTTTTTACACGGAATAAAATCTAACTCTTTAAAACTAAGAAAAGAAAAGTTAGTTTTCTAAGATAACTAAGAAAAGATTAGTTCTCTAAGAAAAGATTAGTTTCATTATTTTTCTAACAGTCATATAATGTATATTTTTTACACGTAATAAAATTTAGCTCCTTAAAGCTATTCATCTAAGAAAAAGATTAGAGATAAAGCATAGAGGCTTATTTTCTTAAATATCGCAGAATTTAGTATCCATCCAAATCAGTATTTCCATCTAACAACGCTGTGATGGCTCAAAACATTTTAAAAACCGCTCTTTTCAAATTTTGAGTGCTGAAATTTCATGCTCATAATTTTGTAGAACCGCAATTTTTAGGAATCATAGAGAATTGGGAAAGAAGACAAGTGCAACTAGTGGCATGGGAGTTCTTAAAATAGTAATAACATGGCATAGCACTGTACTGTTTTAAAAAAGATTTCATATACTTGTCTCAATTGGTTCAATTATTAACCCTGCTCTTCTAATCAATCAGTGGTGAACTTAAAATAATGGGATTATCTTGAAACAGTTCAAGACAAGTTATGACATGAAAGATCATAATTATTCATTCATTCTGAGAATAGAAAAAGAAAAGCTTAATTATATTAGGCAGGATTAAGTTACTTAAATCCCAGATGATGAGGGTGATTTGGAGTCATCATTCCTGATGTAAGACATGTTAAGAATAGTGACCATTTTTTGAGCACTTACTCTGTCCAAGGTACTATCTGTCCTAAGAACTTTACGTATGTGATTGCGTTTAAGGCTTACAATAACTCTGAGGTAGGTACCATCACAATAGCCATTTTTCAAAGGAGGAGACCAAAGTCCAGAGGGGTTACTAAAATTACAACTAATAAGGGGTAAAGTCCAGATTCTTCTGTCCTATTTAAGTCCAGTTGTCCGGTTGGCCCATGGGCTGTATAAAGATCAAGAAACCATTTGGTCTGGCCTTGCCAAGGCATTAGGAGTGAGTTAATTAAATGTTTGACCAAAGATAGCAGGCTAATTTTTAAGTTGATAATTTTGTATGGCTCGTGAATGATGTTATAAATATCCAAATGACCCTTGGCAGAAAAAAGTTTCCCCACCCCTTAAAGTGAAAATGAGGTGCCTCTGGATATTTCTCTGGCCACTGTTTTTGTACTCATAAACACCTGATGACTACTTATTAAATTATTTCATTAATAAATGCAGGTTTAAAGAATCTGTCTTTCACAGTTATCTTGTTAGGTAGGTAAATCATTTCTATTTTACAGTTGATACAATTCTAGAGCCATTCAGGTCACGTAATTAGGTGGCAGTAGAATCTCAGCTAGTACCAAGTTCTCCTGAAAGCCAATGTCAGTTTCCAAGACACTTGTAAAGTTTATGAAAAATGGCAGCTAAATGTGAGGACAGTGTATTCAGGAGGCAGTAGTTGAATACAGAACAGAAATTCAAAAAACAAACTAAATAGAAGGAAAATATGAGTACACCAGAGAACAAGATCTTACCTCCACTCTACTGCTCATTATAGTTTTTAAAGAGTTTGTTAAATATTCTTGGCAGGTAAAAATTTTTAGTGGATATATTTTGAATGAATAGACAAAATTTCATCATGCCTAAGCATAATAGATACTTAATTTTAAAAATTCTAACAAACAGCAGACATTCTCTTTAACTAAAGTGCAGCTACATGACAAGAACCCAAAACCTGTAAAGATATAGCCGGGACTCAATACATACACAAGTTGGAATGTCAAAAGGAACAAGTATTACAAAAACAAAGACTTCTGTATACTATAGTGGCAAACACGACATTTAAAGAACTTATTTTTACTACTTCCCATTTCCACCTACACATTATTATACCAACTTAGCCATGTTTCATGATCAACTCTTGCTGTTCCATAGTAAATATGCCATGATCTCAGATCTCTGGTTTGTTTAGGCATACCTTGACACTTATGCTGCTCCTGTTTCTATGACCCTGTCTGTTGCCATTTGCCCCTTACAAAAGATGTCCCACAAATATGTCATAATTAGCTCTTTATTTCACCAGTTGTCATGGCAACTTTTAAGCACCGTTCTGACTCACAAGAGCAAGCCCACAATTACAAACATCCCAAGTCTCCCGTAAGTTTACATGAAGAGCAAAAAAAGCTAGATAGGCAAGAATGATGTGAATAAAACCTGGAAATGATGGCCAAGGTAGCATCCATCTTCTTTTTTTTTTTAAATCAGTCTTTATTGTTCATATTATTACAAAGGTTCCTCATTTGCATCCATCTTCTTACATATCCTTGAGTTTCTCCTAATTGTTAAGTTCCTGAAAATTAGGGATTCTACGAAATTGTTTGACTTCTCAGAGTTAGGGACTGTGCATGTGGTCATCAAATGATTGTATAATTGCTATTGTGAACAACAGAATGCACTATAATTTTTTGAGCAGATGGAGTGGGAGTTATGCTAAGACCATGAGATAAAGAGATACATACATTGGTCAAAAACAGAGTTTGGAATTTTAATCCAGCAGGCAGGAAAATATAGGCAATTTTAAAGAAACTTTTCAAAAGTGGTTTTAAAAACTCGCATACTGCAAGTACAAAACATAAACATTGGGGAATAAAATGATAACTGGGCTTGGCAAGTTTAATATGAATCAACTGAATTAAGGGCCAAGTAAAATTAGTTTTGCTAAATTTTGTAACCAACTTTGTACTTTCTAGATATGTATGATTAAAACAATACAATGATCATCTTTCTCTCAGGGTCATTCAATTGGTGAGGATTAAATGTGTGGATGAAAGGGGACACATGCTGACCTGATAAGCTCAGGGGAGGCCTGCATAGCAGCCTTGCAAACTCAGAAACCTAAAGTAACCACAAAGGATGGGCTGAAATTAAACTTTAAGTAAAAGAAGTTATGGTGGGCAGTTACTGTTCTAGGTTGGTATCTTCACTGACAAGGTCAACCTTTACCTTAACTGAGCCTGTTTTTTTGCATCTATAATAACGTATTAGTACCCTTGAAATGTCTGGGTAACTTGTAACTTCCCTTTTTCTGGACCCCCTGGGGCACAACCCAATGTGCTGGGTGCCAGGACAGATACCACACATTCCTTCATTATCATGTTAATTGTTCCTGCAGCCACCTAATTATGTGTTCATCATTTTACTTTTGATCCAATCCCAGGGTCCCCCCCCCCCTCGCTTTGTTTTATTCCACCTCCTTAATCTATCACCAGTGGATTTCCTGTAACCCACCTAAAGTCCCTCCTTTCATTGCTATGTATATATGCAGACCCGCCATTTCTCCGGAGCATTATCTCAGATGGTTGAGGCACTGCTTCCCTGTATATGTCGACAGTTTGGCTCAAATAAACTCACAAAAATTCTTTACAGGTTTCAATGGTTTCTTTACGTTAACAAAGGATTTAGTATCTCAAAAGTTCTTAGAATAGTGCCAAGCACAGTAATGGCTGTGTAGGTGTTTGTAAAATAGAATAATTTCAGGTCTCACACATGCCAAATAATTTCCAGGGTCTCCATAAATCCTAGAAAGTAAAACACTTATGCTACTTGCTCTTCAGGGCTTTCCCTGACATCTTTGAAGTTAACAGCGCTTGTAAAACGGGACAGGAGTGCTTCTCGCTATGAATGCTTGTCAGAGTCTTTGTTTTTACACCATTGCTTTTGTTTTTTCACTTCCCTTTAGTCTAGTGCATCCAAATACATCTTCTGAAAACAAGATCTGCCGCTCCTGACGAAGACCAACAAAATACAAGGCTTTAAGAAATGAGCGGGGATAGCGGACATCAGAGCATCCAAATTGGGAAGGACATAACGCAGAAGCCGCACGTTTCTGTTTCCCTTGAATAATTGGCTCAAACTCTTCCAGAAACATATTGCTCCAGTGTCTCTAACTTATTGGTTCTATTCAAAATCGGGCGCTAGGTTTCCCTGGCCAATACCAACTTGGAAAGCGCCGGGGACCCCCAGGAAACGCTCCTCCCCTTCGGGGGAGGTTGGCGGGGGCGGGGCTCCCACGCATGCTCTGTGCCCGTGGGACCATGGGCGCGGTTGCCGGGCGCGTGCGCAGGACCCGATGGGTGCCCGAATGCGGAAGACCTGGCTCCGAGGAGGTTCCCGCTTCCGAAGCGTGGGAGGAGCAAAAGCAGGCAGGTTGTAGTTTTTGGTCTTGGCACCGAGGGATTCCCTGAACCGTTAGAAACAAAGAGAGGACGATCGGGCGCCCGTGGTGGCGGCTGAGGGGCTGAACCCCCCACCTGTTCTCCAGGTTGCAAGGGGGGTAGGGAGAGAAGTACCGAAAACAAGGCTGAGGAGCCTCTGGGACAGGGTCCCATAGCATGGGGGGCTGGACCCCGTCCCTAAGCACGGGGAGCTGCAGCTGCCAAGGCCACCCGATTGGGTCCTGCCCTAGTGTCAGCTCCTTGGTGATAGCGCCGGCGGGGCAGCTGCAGAGGCTGTAGCCTGGCCCCCGCTTGAGGTCCTCGGCCAAAAGATA